GAAGCCAATCGTCAATCGAAAAAGACTGGAGATTCTCCAGGGGGAAACTCAGATTAGACGTGTGCTTTTATGACAGTTTGATGGTCAACAAACACACTGGAATCTCACCTAATACCTGCTTCACTAACATAAGAAATATATCCACATGAAGCTTAAAATCTGTAATTTTAAATGAACCGAGTGCGGTTAGAATCAAACGTTTTCTGGTTTTGTAATCTGCAGGAAATAAATGTGAGGTATAGTCTGTCCTGTCAAACGCACATCACATGACAGCAATTACTCAGATGCCCACAAACAAGTAAACAAAGAGTTGCTGTCATTTCTGGAGGACACTCACCATAAAGACCAAGTTGTGAATTACTTTAGAAGAGCAGCGCGATCAGCCGATCATTATGGATAATAAGTAACACTGCCAGAAATGAGGTTGGTGTTGTGATCTCATTCTTTTCAAGTGTGCATGAGCATTAGCTTAGATAACCTAAAAAAATGCCAATTTTGCTTGATTCAAATGTTTAGAAACTAAACTTATGAGACAGTTGTTGTTTAATTTTATTAGTGAATCCAAATATGTAATTTAATCATAGGTTTGGCAAACAGTTTTGGAGAATTTGATGTTTCCCTGTTCAGACATAATGCCCAATCATACTGCCGCCGAGTGAAATAACTTGCCTTGAAAAGACTTTTACACAACATGCAACAATACAGTTAAAAAGAAAAAAAACATGGAATGTAAACAAATTAACATGTTTTTTTAACATGTAATCCATAAAAACACGTCCAGAGAACAGGATTTGCAAAGAAACTGGGATTAAAAGATCTGTTCCTACTCTCTGTGATTGCGGAGACCACAAAAAATGTGTCAGGGAACCCCAAAAAAGTACAAAACCGACTGCTTCTTTATACATTTTTAGCCCTAATAATATTTGAATCACAAATAAAATCAACATATTTTAATAACATGTTAGCAAGAGTTACTCAAAACTCAAAAAATATATAAATGACAAAGATTTGTACAACCAGGACGTTCAATGAACACATAACCCTCAACTCTGCTGTGTCTAACCAAGAAGCAGGGTTCACTGATTGCATTTCTGGATTTGCATGTGTTGTGAGAATTTGAACGCTTGTGTTGTCAAATCGGTGAAGATTTTCCCAATTGGCAGATTAGTTTGCTTGTTTTAGAAGCTAATCCTAATGAGTACTGTCAACTTAATCCATTTGAGTAAATGGAGCAATTTGAGCACAGTAAAATCTAATAAATAAAGAGAACTCAAACCAACTGAGAACTGTAAAACCTAATAAGTTAAGGCAACTCAAACCGTTTGAGGAACCCGATTGCTACAAACCATTTGAGTTAAAAAAAAAAATCTATAGGAGTACTGTGAACTTACTCCATTTAAGATGAAGTAATGAGGTTTTTAAATTAACTCATTACCTTCAACACTGAGTTCGAAACTCTTTTTAAATGAGTAGACTTAACTTTCAGTCAATTTTGAGTTAACTATACACTCATTTCATTTGATAAAGTTTACTGTTGGGTTTTACTGTGTAGGAATTGAGTTTGAGACTGATGTTTTAAGGATAAACACTTATTGCTGGCATGTTGTTTGTTTCAATGAGACAAGTATTTTTTTGCTTGTGTACAAAACGCTTCTCGATTTAGGAATTTTTAGATATTTGGATTAGAAACAGACAACTCTTAAGTAAGAAAAGCATTATTTATTTATTTTTTGCAATGTTGCATGCATTTTGTTTTTAATCTCAGCCACCGTAGAGTTCTGCTTAATATAATAAAATTGAGAGCCCACATAGCTTGTTTTCAATTAAGCACAATGAACTATAAGTAGGCTAATATATGAGTTTCATTTGTTAAATTTGACAGTTCTGTTTAAAATGATCCGCATAAACAACGCAATCTCACTGCAATTCGTAAGTTTTTGATTTAGTGGCTAATTCGTATGAATTCATACGATCTAATTAGTACAATTTAGTACGATTTGCTCATCACCCAATGACGGTTAGGGGTAGGGTTGGGTGCCACACCACCTTTTTAAAATCGTACATTTTCGTACGACTAAATTAGAACAAATTAGCCACTAAACGTTTTCTCATTAGATCAGGCTCGTATAAACCATTTACTAGAGTATTGCATTGACATTTCAAGAGAATTTTCAGATGCTGAAGTGCAAGGCAGACAGTTTGAGCTGGCAGTGTTGATATAAACCTTCTCGACTTCATCAGGACAGGAGCAGACACAGGGAAACAGGATATCTATGACAATGCATCATCCTATTTCACTGCTGCTTATCTGGAGAATACTCTCTTGAGCCAGCACACACACTCTCTCTCTCTTTCTCAGTGTTATATGTAAAGACTCAAGGAATACAAATAAGTGATCTATAGTTTCAGCTGAAATTATTTCTGAGTCTGCTGCCATTTGTTTGGGAGTATAAAACATACTTAACTCCACAGTCTACTGTCAAAGCTCCAAAAGGGGACCTATTATGCAAAATCACTGTTATAATGGTTTAAATATAAACCACTTAAAAATAAATACCACATATAATGTTGTGTGAAAATAGCCAGCCACTAATGGTAAAAAGCTAATTCGTTTATTTTATTTTCGGCTTAGTCCCTTTATGAATCTAGGGTTGCCACAGCGGAATGAACCGCCAACTTATCCAGAATATGTTTTTACGCATGCAGATGCCCTTCCAGTTGTAACGCATCACTGGGAAATATTCATGCATTCTCATTCACACTCGTACACTACTGACAATTCAGCCTACCCAATTCACCTGTACTACATGTCTTTGGGCTGTGGGGGAAACCCAGAGGAAACCCATGCTAACACAGGGAGAACATGCAAACTCCACACAGAAACGGCAACTGACCCAGTCAAGGCTCAAACCAGCGACCTTCTTGTTGTGAGGAGAACGTGCTACCCACTTTGCCACCGTGCAGCCATGGTAAAAAGTAATTTATAATCTTGGATTGACGTTCTCCCTTTGTACATATCCTCATAGGGAGAAAGCCCCACCCCTTAGTGACGATCTCTCCCTCATTAGCATAAACAGCCCTGAGTAAGATGCAGTTAGCATTACGCCTGTTTCACACTGCAAGCGCAAGCAGAGCGTGAGCTGCATGTGTGCAGTGCGTATAGAAAGCAAAAGCAGGTCGCAGACGTTTGCCTTTCCCACCGGCTGCGTCTGCAGCACGCAGCTCATCGGCAGCTGCTGCACAGATCTATCTATTTCTGTCTATTCTATCTAGTTACCTGTCTATCTATAAATACACTATAAATAGAGGACAATCGCCTCTGATAAGTCATTTTGGTTTTGATTGTTCTGATGATGTAGGCCTAGAGTTATAATAATGTGTATACAATATATTTAGAATGATTTTAATACATGATCAAACTAGTGTGCAACTTACTAAGCAAAACTGATACTAAGATTATTTACTTTTTGGTTTCGTAGTTCTGGCCCAAATAATTTTTTTTTTTGCTGTTTTTAATCACTGAAGGGCAAATCCATCGATGCGCAGCTCTACAAGTCCCAAACCAGGCAAGCCAGTGGCGACAGTGGTGAGGATCAAACTTCACCATTTGACGAAAGTGAAGGAAAAAACCTTGAGAGAAACCAGGCTCAGTTGGGCACAACCATTTTTACTCTGGCCAAACTTTCTGTAAAGAGCTGCAGTCTAGGTGCCAGGGGCTGGAGAATACTGGACATCCATCATGGAGAAGCTGCAGGCAGTGCCGGCCCGTCCAACAGTCAATATGGGTGGTTGCCTAGGGTCCCTCGTTTCTTGGAGGGCCCCACGAACATTGCTCTTGTATGTTTACTGTGAATGTAAGTTTTAGGATGAGCGCATACGTATAAATTAGAAACAATGCGCATTGTGCAATGCACACACCCCATTAAACGTGATTTACAATTCACAACAGTGGTAAGAAAAAAATATCTCCACATTTCATTAAAAGAATAGCTCTGTATAATTCAAGTTATTGTATAATGTGGTTTGTTCTGTAGACAATCAAAAAAATATATAATAAATAAATTAATAAAAATAAAAATAGCTGAAAGGGGCTAATAATTTTGATGGTTTCTAAATGGTTTCTAAAAAAATTTAAACAAATTTTATTCTATCCGAAATAAAACAAATAAACTTTCTTCAGAAGAAAAAATATTATCAGACATATACTGTTAAAATTTCATTGCATTGTTAAACATCATTTTGGAAATATTTCGATTGCCTACAGAACAAACCATTATTATACAATAACTTGCCTAATTACCCTAACTGGCCTAGCTAACCTAATTAACCTAGTTAAGCCTTTAAATGTCACTTTAAGCTGTATAGAAGTGTCCTGAAAAATATCTAGTCAAATATTATTTACTGTCATCATGGCAAAGATAAAATAAATCAGTTTTTAGAGATGAGTTATTAAAACAGTTATGTTTATAATCTTAACAGAATGTAACAGAAATTGGGAGAAAATAGGGGGGCTAATAATTCTGACTTCAACTGTGTGTGTAACGTTATACACACACACACACACACACACACACACACACACACACACACACACATATATATATATATATATATATATATATATATATATATATATATATATATATATATATATATATATATATATATATATATATATATATATATATATATATATATATATATATATATATATATATATATATATATATATATATATATATATATATATATATATATATATATATATATATATATATATATATATATATATATATATATGTATATATATATATATATATATATATATATAT